CCACCCATATCCACACACCTCACCCGCATCCACATATCCCACCCATAGCCACACCGCACACCGTTTAAAAATAAAATATAAGTCTTTGTTGTAAATGTTTCATATAGAAACAAAAATCCTTGCAGATAACAAATTTGTTTGTGAGGAAATATTTAAACGAGTCATTTATTCCGCTGCACTCGTCGACTGATCTAAGGCTGGCTCGACATGGTTGGCAGGCACTAAGTAGCGATCGTAAGCTTTTTCGGTGCTCTGATACGTCATAATATATTCGAAATACTCTTTTTGTCTATCATCCGTATGATGTTTGCATGATTCTTCGCATATTGTCAGAATTTTTTCTTCGCTGAGTTCATGCGCATAACCGTGCACTACCGCCTGAGGGATATCTCGAAATTTGAGGGCGTAATGAATACCCCATGCAGCTAGATAGAACGAAAGCATGTGATCACGCGTAATCCATCGCCATATACTTTTTATAGTTGCTTCCTGCTCGGCTTCGATCCACCGTTGTTGTTCATATTGTGCTTGTGTAAGACTTCCTGTTGGCAAATCAAAAAGAATCGCGATCTTTCTACAAAGATCCTCATCTCGCTTTTTAGCCGTTCCTTTCGCGTAAATGCCTTCCGATTCCTGCTCAATATAGGTTCGCGCAGCTAAAATGCGCTGGTTGAGAGAGCCCGCAACACTCTTGAGAACAGCTGCGCCTGACACATCGTCTAGAATATGTACCATAGACTTGATTGCTTCGCTATCCAGCGACAAACCTAAAGGGGTACCGTCGGTAATATGCGTAATCTTCGCATTTTTCTCCGAAAGTTGATTTAAAATCTTTGAGAATATGTTGTCGTCTAGTGGATTAGCTAGCGCTTTCACGACGTCGACTTTCTTACACTCGAAACAGTAACGAATACCTGGACACAGTAATTTGATCTGATGAGATCTATCGAACGGATCGTTGGTTGTATCAGCTGCTGAGCAACTGATCACCGGTAGTTGGGGATCAGGTCGAGCTGACACAGTGAAGACACCTCGACTAAGTGAGTAACCGCGCAACTCATACCACGAGTTTTCGACACGAATCTGGTCAATGACAGAAGTAACTCGCGTGATCTATATCGCTCCATTCTAGTGATACGGTCGCTCTGATTCATTAGAACGATACATGGTTTCGGAGTGGTTCACAAAATACATTTCATAGTATACAGCCAATTCAGCACGGTAGTTTAGAAGTATTCTTTCTTTTTAAGGTTTTAGAAAATCTTTGCTGAAAATCCAAGTATTTACATTCTAAAAGGATAATTGAAGAAAAATGAAGAATTTCGAAAGAAATTGCAGATAAAGATTTCTTGACTAGTTGTTAATTTTCGTCTCAAGCTTTTTCAGTGAGCTATTCGATTCGTTTGTTAATATAATCATTTTCTTCTCCCATCTATAAGGCTGATATATTCCCAACGAATCGAAAAATGAACTTGAAACAATGATCAGCGGCAGACTCTTTTTTCAGACTCCGAGAGATCCTCTTTTAACGATGCCCCGCGCTCTCCCCTTTCTGGCACTTTTGGAAAACGGCTCATCAGAAAATTTGAAAGTTTCGGTAGAAATAGATCTCGTATTGAAGATCAAAAGTTGTGTTAGACTCGAATTTCCATTACGCTTCTTTCTATGAGATAATGAGTTCAGAAGGGTGAACAAATGACCCAAATTCTTGTCCACATTTCTCCGAGAAACTACGTTCGATCCTGGTGAAGCTTTTTTTTATAGATACTCGACACTGTTATGAGTGTCTACTGTTTTATTTTCTTTAAAAAACAACCAAAATACTGAGAGCACCCTAAAAATAGTATCTGTAAAAAATGCTTCAGCTCGATCGGACGTAGTATAGCGGAAAACCGGGCCGATTCTGCACTTTGTATGCGAAAAAACTGACTTTGATAAAAATGCAAAACATCCTCTTTTTGATGCTTCGAATTTTTCATTCTTTTACATATAGTTATCAACTATTGCACTTGCACAACTATTAAGAGGATACATCATTGACGCACACACACATTGGGCAACGAAATAAGCTCTTTACTTGTAGTGGAGCTGATTCGCTACGCCAAAGAGCTAATGAACGTGATCTTTTAGACCGGAGTTCTCTACAGTCGAATTTTTTCAGGATGTAAATAACAGTGAAAGCGTTTCGCTGAGAGGGCATTCGATAGAGGGCACTTTAATGTATTTTTAGAGACGAAAAATTCGAAATCGAAAAAAATGAATTTTCGGGATTGGAAAAGGAGATAGTGTAGCCTTAATCATATTGGATATTTTTGCTGACTTTGAAAAATCTGGCAACCGTATTCAAACTAAATACATTCTAAATCTAATGCTTCCGGAATGGCTTTTGCAGTCAAGCTGAACAAGAGTGTGTTGAAGATTGCACTGAAGTAGTACATGTTTACAACGATTTGCTGTACAAAAAGTAGTTGTAGCCATCTATCTTGAGAAGCTTTCATGAGTCGGTCTTCATCTGATATCCATATTCAGTTATTTACGAATATATAGCCCATCATTGCCTTCGCAAACCAAGAAGGAGATGCAATAGACAACGATAGAGTAACGAAATCAACGTCCAGCAAGAATTCACCCACTCTTTTCGCGTACTAAGATATCATTTGAAACATCAAAAGCTGATTTAAAACCGCAATGTTCTTGTATGGTAAAAAGGTTACATCGAAAGAGCCTACTCATTCGGACATATTTTTCCAATGATTTCATCTCGAATTTATGGCAGATCAGAGTGAGTGACTCAATCAATTTTACAATATCGTTGTCACGCTCTTCGTACGCTCTGACTACGCCTACAAATAAATGAACATTGTCTGGGCGATTTTTCAAAGCCTGTTCAATGAATTCAACATAGGCAGGGTCATTTTCTTCTCGTTTCTTCCCACGCACATCGAGACAACACAAGTGAGTGCCTTCAATTTCTTGTACCTCTTCTGATGATCCCGCGCTGCCATCGGAGCGAATATTCAACTTCTTCCACTGTTCTGGATTGATCTTTGGTGTCACACCGAGGATGGTAGCAATACAACTGCTTTTACCCACCCCTGAATCACCGATGAATAGCAACTTTGGTTTTCTATGTGACTGTTTGTATTCATCTTGGCTCTGTCGGTACTTTCTCAGCATATCTAAGATATCATTTCGTGCAATGTATGACCCTTGGTTGGCATTAAGTTGGGATTCTTTTAGTTTCAAATTGGTAGCAGCCATGGCTATAGACGAAAGACAGAAAAACTCATTTATGCGCCAATATTTTTATAAGGAGATGCATTTCTTCCAACAAATGACACATTGTTGGAGTCCGCGGATTTTGTTGGGTTTTTATCTATACTACAATAAGTGCGTCATATTTCAATTACTCACAATGCAT